CTCAAGATCTATTGGCTGCCATCCAGAGCTTCTGAAAATGCGGGAGAGTACAAAGTGTTAATATACCTAACTCTCCATCTAAAGATGACTTTAAAATTTGTGGCATATTTGGCCTCAAGTCGTTTGTTAAATTTTTAGAAAAATAAACGTTATAAGTTGTCCTCTTTCACCCCGACCGCAATCACATTCCCACTTCTTTGTCCCCAGGGCTTTGATGGGTGTCTTTACCCATCTTTTTTGCTGTTGTCCATGAAAGCATAGCTTCCAGGGGTATTTGAGGCCCAGAGAGGTTGTGTGACTTTCTGGGGGTCACACAGTGAGTCTGGTCCAGGTGAGGTGGGATCCACCTCATGTCTTATCCCCTTGCAGAGCTGGCCTTCCTGAACACCTGAGCTCAACCCCTACCATCCGACTCCCGAGGTGTTCTGTCCAGGATGGATAGAGGGGAAAGATCCAAGGAGGGACGTTTACACACAGATCTTGGTTGGTAAATTTGAAGTATTTTGCAAAAGGAACAGGGGATTTTGGTATGCACAAAATTAAAGAGGCTGTTTTCTGGCCTCCCTTGATTGGTCACCTAGGGTTGCTGCCAGAGGGTTTGATAAAGAGGAGAAGGAAGTTACAAGAGCCCGTTTTTTAGCCACAAGTTCACTGCATCCTCTTTTTTGTTAGGTAGATATTATTATCTCTGTTTTCCAGATGAGGAAACTTGCCCCAAGTCACATGCTGCTCAGGGGTTCAGTCAGGACTCAAACCCGAGTCTGTCTGCCTCCCAAGCACAGTTAGGTCTCCCCACTCCAAAGTCCTGTTTTCTCACCTGCTGTCTCTAACAAGTGACATTTCTTCTGACTTCGGAAAGATACTTCATCAGTAATGTGGTTTGTTGAGGGACACGTGTTAATAACAAAAGGAAACCAAGTACCATTTGTCTCCATCAACATCGGGCACTTCAGAAGGTGACTTTCACAGAGCCCAGTGTGCTGAGCTCTTCCAGGGCCAGTGCCTAATGATAAACTTTAAACCCGAGAAAATGCCCTAGTACTTTCTGCAGCTTCAGAAATAGGCTCCAGTGTGCTGCGAGTGTTCATTTATAGACAGCGCTCGGCATCGGGAGTCTGGACACCATATATCCACCCAGGAGTGTATTAACGTGGAAACCAAGCCCACCCCCAATTCTGAAAAGTGCAGCAGCTTTTCCAGTTCTTTGTGCAAATATGTAGGCTCTGTATGTGCAGGGTTACTGGTTTCCAAGCACAAGGCAAAATAAGGAGGGTGCCCTGGGAGTGATCTGCTGGCTTCCCCTACTTCCCTTCCCCAGGCACGGCTTGCTGCTGCGGACATCCCTTGGCCAAGCTGGTCCCTTGGTTAAACCACTTGTTTAACCAAGTGGTTAAAACAAACCTCCCCCACACGTGGCTCCTTATGTGTATGTAGGCATTTCGACTTTTCAAAATTCTGCTCTATCTGTATTCCCTTTGATCTTCACAGTACCCCATGTGGGATGTGAGGATTAAATGTGTTTCAGTAATAAGCACGCATTTGCCTGGTCCCTGTGGTTCCTGAGAGTTGCTGGTGTGCTGTCAGAGTGTCCTCTGGCCATCCATGTGACAGGGTGACTGTCTTTCTATAGCATGCCGAATGGCTGGCAGCGCCACTGCCTGCACTGCACACATGGAATTTAGGCTTCTACTTCTCCTAGGCAGAAATGTGTCTCCCCTCTGGTTGTCACTTTCCCCTTGCCTGACCCTAGAAAAGGTGCTGCATTCTGGCCCTGCAGCAGAACAGGGGAAGGAGAAAGGCAGCGGGGGTTGGGGAGTGGGGAGGAGAGGGTTGGTGTTGGGGGTTCTCCTCCCAGCTCAGCTGCTGTTTTGCTATGTGACATCAGGTGGATCTCTTCCCCATTCTGAGCCTCAGTTTTCTCACATGTAAAATGAGGATCTGCATTTTTGCTTTGCAACTCTAAAAGCAGCGAAATCCTTTTTTTTTTTTTTTTTTTTAATGTACTTACTGGCACCTCAACATGTAAAACAGATAAAAGCAGAGCTCTTCTGGTTAATGTGGGGAGGATCCTAGAGCTCCCTGAATTGTCCTTTTACCCTGTCTTCCCCTCCCGCTTATCCCTCATGACACAGCAGTACCCTTAAAGATCTCTGAGTCCCTCCAGTTCTCAAGTTTAAGGACTCTACTGCCATGGTAAGAGCTGGTCCAGCCTCAGTTTCCACAGTTCTTTTGGCCACTCAAATCTAGCCTAGCAAGCACGCAGTTCCTGACGATTGGCCTCAGGTCCCAGAGAGCTCCGGCAGGTGTAGGAGTCCATGGGCCTGACACCTCAGCTAGTCTCTGCTGGATCCCGACGAAGTCAGGTCCTTTCTGGAAAGGGGTTCGAAGCCCACATACTCTCTGCACTTCCCCCAGGAAATACGTCCTTGGGTGTGTGTTTGGGGGAGTGAGGAATGCAGAACCACTTCCCCTATAGCCTGGATATACTCCCCAAGATGAGGGCAGTAAGGTGCTGATGACCCTAGAAGTAACTTGCTTTTCTCAACTTCTCAGGAGAAGGCCATCAGCATTTGGGAGTCAAAGAATTTCTTTTTTGAACTTGAGCCCCTGCCAGGGGCTGTGGAAGCTGTGAAGGAGATGGCCAACCTACAAAAGTAAGTTTGTACTCCCAGCCCTGCCCAGCCGGGCCACTGAGCCCTGTACCTCCTTCCTGCTTCTTCCCTTCTCTGCCTTCTCCTTTCTCTCCCCTTGGCCCTGCACAAGGTTGCACTTGCCTCGTCATTGCTGAGCCTGGGGAAAACCACCGAATACAATGATCTCGGTTTGTGGGCTGTGATGTTTTGATCCAGGAACTTGAGGAAATACCCAGTTTAATTTGATCTGGTTCCCTGGGTGTTCAAAGCTCATTTATTCAGCAAATATCTCAGTACTGACTCTGCTAGATAGTGCAGGCCCCAGTGATTCAGCAACAAGCAAAGTATAGTCCTTGCCCTCATGGAGCTTCCAGTTCAGACAGAGCAGACATTAAAGAATTACAAAGTGGCTGGGCTTGGTGGCTCACGCCTGTAATCCCAGCACTTTGGGAGGCCAAGGTGGGTGGGTCACCTAAGGTCAGGAGTTCAAGACCAGCCTGGCCAACATGATGAAACCCTGTCTCACTCAGGCGCGGTGGCTCACGCCTGTAATCCTAGCACTTTGGGAGGCCGAGGTGGGTGGATTGCCTGAGCTCAGGAGTTCAAGACCAGTCTGGGCAACAAGGTGAAACTCCATCTCTACTAAAATACAAAAACTTAGCCAGGCGTGGCAGCATGCACCTGTAGTCCCAGCTACCTGGCAGGATAATTGTTTGAACCAGGGAGGAAGAGGTTGCACAGTGAGCCAAGATCGCACCACTACCCTCCAGCCGGAGCGACAGAGCGAGATTCCATCTCCAAAAAAAAAAAAAAAAACCCTGTCTCTACTAAAAATACAAACAATTAGCTGGGCGTGGTGGCGGGCGCCTGTAATCCCAGCTATTTAGGAGGCTGAAGCAGGAGAATCGCTTGAACCCAGGAGGTGGAGGTTGCGGTGAGCCGAGATCGTGCCATTGTACTCTAGCCTGGGCAACGAGTGAAACTCCATCTCAAAAAAAGAATCACAAAATGAAGACAATCACAGATTGTCCAAAGAGCTGAAGGAAAAGAGGTTCAGTGGGAAACCTCATTTAGAAAAAGCGTTTAAGGAAAGAGAAGTGGTATTGCTTGAGATATTTCTGTTTTGTTCTGGTGAAATGAGTAGTTCTATGGACTGAAGCCCCCACTCAGTGACCTGTTGACAATTACAGAGGATGTGCTTCCCTGAGAGCTTTTTTAAAACAGCCTTATTGACATATAATAATGACATACAGGCCAGGTGCAGTGGCTCACGCCTATAATTCCAGCACTTTGGGAGGCCGAGGCAGGCGGATCATGAGGTCAGGAGTTTGAGACCAGCCTGGCCAACATGGTGAAACCCCATCTCTACTAAAAATACAAAAATTAGCTGGGCGTGGGGGCAGGCACCTGTAATCCCAGCTACTCGGAAGGCTGAGGCAGGAGAATCTCTTGAACCTGGGAGGCGGAGGTTGCAGTGAGCCGAGATTGCACCATTGCACTCCAGCCTGGGCAACAGAGTAAGACTCCGTCTCAAAAGAAAAAAAAAAACACATACACACACACAGAAGTTTTTACTTTTGGCGTAGTCCAATTTATCTGTATTTTTCTTTTGTCACTTGTATTTTTGTGTCATATGAAGAAGCCGTTGCTGACCCAAGGTCACAAAGATTTGCCCCTGTGTTTTCTTTAAGAGTTTTAGTTTTAGCTCTTCCATTTAAGCCTATGATCCATTTTGAGTTAATTTTTGTATATGGTATGAGGTAGGGGATCAAACTTCATTCTTTTGCATGTAGATACCCTGTTGTCCCAGTTCCATTTATTAAAAAGACCATTTTTTTCCCACTGTATTGTATTAACACTCTTGCTGAGAATTAATTGACCATCAATACAAGGATTTATTTCTAGACTTGGATAACTTTTATCGGCCACATTTTTGCTTGAATTTAGCAACCTGAATGACAAATCAAACGTAAGGTATGGTTTGGCCTTCATTATGTCATATAAATGCCTCAAAAAATTGTCAACTTTCAAAGTTCTAATATGATAAGTAGGTGTCAGAGAAACATAAAATACAGAGTTTGAGTTGAATCGTAGACCTTATTTGGTAGTAATTTATCTTTGGATGTGAGTCCAAGTCCTGCAGAGTAGTGAATTTTGTTCTGGCTTATAGTATGAACTTGATGTATAGTGTTCCTGTAGCAAGAGTCTGAGAGGCAAAGAATATGTGTACAGCATTTACACTTAAGCTTTCAAAACCCTGCTTACGGCCTGGATCAGCACGTGCTGACCTGCAGCCACATGGCTGTATCCTGGGGAGCTGCAGGGCACGGTGGTTTGGAGTGGGGTTCTGGACATTGGCTGCCCAGGCTCACATCCTCACTTCCCCAGAATCTCATTCCCAGATGTCAGGCAAGTTATTAAACTTTCTGGGTTTCAGTAAAATGGAGATAATGAGAAAGTCCTCAGTATAGTGCCTGGCACATAGCAGGTGCTCAGCAAATGCTAGCTGCTGCTGTTGCTGTTCTGTTACATTTAATAGGCATATCACAAGAAAAGCATCCTTAATTCACCACAGTATGGGAAACAATGGATTAGATTGGCTTCTTCACCATAGAACTTTTCAGAGCTTTTAACTGCTTGTGTGCTTTGTTACACTCCATTGGGGTAGTAAGGGATGCAGCTTTCTTCAAAAGTATTCTAACGACTAGGCACG